GGGTAGGAGCCCAATATGGAATATTGTTCTAAACATATACATCATATACACCACTGTTCATCTTTAAACACGTATTAACACAAAAGACTGGTTTCAGAACTCAATATGTTAATGGAAATCCCAAGAAAGAGTGTGGCGAAGAACACCACCCTGCGGGACACCATTTTTCAATATTTTCCATTGAAAAATAGACCCTCTTTTGTTCATTTCAGCTTCTCGTGGAAAATCTTTTATTTCCGAAACCCCTAAAATGGTGAGATAGATGCCCCTAAAATGGTGAGAATTGTGTTTCAAACTAGTCTTTAATATGTGTCGACATATTTGGAAGTTTTGCAATAATTTGATAATAGGTAGAACCTGGTTACAGCCTGTCTTTCCATTTAATAATTTGATAATAGGTAGAACCTGCTTACAGCCTGTCTTTCCATTTTAGGATGCAACACATCTATTATGAAATCTTTTAAACTAAAAATATGTTCTAATTTATAACCCCCTAAGCCCCCCCCCCTCTACGTCTATCCTCAACGCTTACAACCATTTTTCTAAAATATTTTGCTACACTAAATTTGTTTCAATTTAACCTTGCGTATGTGTATATGCAAATTCCTTATCGTGTATATGACAAGCAAATTTGGTATACTCTTTTTTGCGTTAAATGTAGATTTTGGCACCAGCGTAGATTTTATAATAAAGCTGGGTTTATACGCATATTTGCTATGCAAATTACAGATTAAAAATTCGCAATACTTCTCTGGCAATTCGAACAAAAAGAATTATAACTTCACAAAACACGGTTAAGACTCATCTTTTAGTTTGACCGACTATTTTTCATGGGACATTTCATTGATGAAATATGTCAAGGTATCATTCTTGATGGAAAAATTATACCGCTCGTCATTAAAAATGTGGAAACCCAAGGTTAAGTTTAAATATCCTATTCAAATAGAATATAAATTACAGATTTCATCAATAGAAATAGAGGAAGAGGAGAGCATTGGGTTCCGGTATAGATTTTAAATTATAAGAAATGCGATTTTGCAAAACTGTAACGCTAATCTTTATATTTCATGTTTTAAATAAATGTTTTGTTATTGCAGTTTTTCTTTCTCTATTCTCAATTACAAGTATTCTAGAATATATAAAAATAGACTTAAAAACTGAATTTTGGTACAGTGGTAGGCGATTGTATCAGTACAATGAAGACGAATGTTTATCTAAGTTTTGAATGTCAGCCAGCTTGTAAGTAATCAAAGAGAAGCTTTTAGAAATAAAACCTTCTCTTGACTTTTACGTGTATGTGCATCCGTGTTGTTTAACAGTTTGAAAGAAATCAAAATTGAAATCGAAAGTCGTCTTCATTGTATTTGTATAATCGCCCACCATTGTATGTAAATATGCAGATCCAAAAAATGAGCACACCACTCACCTCTGACCCTTTAGTAAAAGTAAATTCAACCTAAAGTCTGACCGCGCCAACCTTGTTGCACCGGCTAGTCCTATTGAGTGCCTGCTGTTTTATTTACCCAACGTCTGGGTGATACAGTACAAACTGGGACCGGAAAGGTTGACCCGGCTCGGAAATTTAAATGTACTACGGCTGCCCGTGACACGCAAACATCAATCATAATTTTGCCAATTACTTCTGTAGAAATTAACAAAAAGCTCTTATAGTTCTAAACATGTATAATAATTGAGTTAGTATTGTAAACCCAAATGCCAAGGCTTTGTGACACTTTATGGTTGGTCCAGTTTCGAACAATTTTCATAGCTGACTGGGTTACTGTGAGATACAATCAATGTACAATGTACGGACACAAATAATACAGTATGATGTTTAAGTGCTTGGAAAGTTGACGAAAAGGTTTATAATTTATTCTTAAAATAACATTTAAAATTATAACCCCGACATAACCTTTATAAACAGGGGCAAGTCATTGAAAACCTTCAAGGGCGGAATGAATTCGTAAAATTATCTTGTCTTTGCTGTATTTTAAGTTAAATTATATATTCACCGACTGTTTCTTGTTCGCAAAACCTCTTTATACATTCAGAATATGTTGCAAATTATTGAGCAGAGAAGTGTGCAAAAAATTGCACTATACTCATACTTTGCAAACTTGCAGTTTTATTCGCCATAGGCTTTTGACGTTTATGCATAAACTATTCTCTATCATTTGCTTAAATGTTTTTTTTGTTATTGATATTTTTTTCAGGCGTTACAACGGTTTTGCTAATTTTATTTTTGTTAAATACAGTAAACCGTATCATGTAAGTAAGTATTTATAAAACTTAACAAAAACAACTGGAGAACATATTTTAAAACCTCCAAAAATAGAGGTTGTGGGAATTCCGCCTCAAACATTCTATGCATTTTCTGCGCGTATTTCGACGTTAAAGCTTGAAGATAATCCAATATGATATGAGACGCTCTTTAGAATCCTTTTCTCATAAAGGTTAAATAGCAAAAATAACATATTGTATAATGGTTAAATCGCAAAAAATTACGTAAAATTTTACAACACAAAATTGTCGTCTCACCTTATTTTTGGGCGTTGTTTTTGCTGTTTTGTTTACATTTCTATTCACTTTTTAACTAATGTTTAAATTAAATTAGAACTGGAGATGCGGAACTAATGCAGTGAATTAAAAGTAATTTCACAGAGTTTGAGAATTAAGGATTAAGGATTAACGATAAGGGATTAAGGATTTGGGATTATGAATCTTGGGTTTAGAATAAGAACAAAAGTATTCAAATCTAATATTAATCAAAAATCGAAATTTGAATGAAAAAATTAACCTAATTGACATTACTTAAAAATACTAAACTATATCGAAATATATTGGATCAAAAAAGAAAAAAAGATTGGCTTAATAATTTTAAAGCATTATTTTCGAGCCTTATTCATTTATTGTTTATTAGATATGAAAAAATCTGTTTTATTGAGTCTTATTATTTAAATCTTATTTTAACCCTAAAAAGGCTGGAAAGTATAAATCTATGTATATAACAAAAACTATTTTTTTAAAGTCAAGAACTATCCAGGAGATAAAGGGGGCATAAAAAATGGATTCACGATTTCTTAGCCTTTCCAGAGTGGTTGATTTTTAACGTCTCACTCCCCTTCCCCCCCCCCTAGCCAGGGGTATAAAATATGATGTATTATTTTTGTCAATTTTTTACAGATTTGAATCTTAATGGTCGAAATTATACCTTCATTTCCTCGTATTGAAACCCAAGAATTCAACTGACCGTTTTCAAACAAATATTTGAGTTGTGATTGATTGATTGATTGATTATTTGAACTTGTATCTATAAAGTAATTGAGTCTTTGCCACAAACTCTGACTTTAAAATCCCTATAATATGCATCCGATGTCCTACACCTTGGATATTTCAAACTATTAATTCTGTTGGATCAAAAGATCTAAGTCTAAAATATCTGAAAGATCAGGTTGCAAAGATATAGGGATTTGATTTTGTGGCAAAGACTCAATTCCTTCAAACCAACTTAATTTTACCCCCAAATTGTTTTTTGGGGTTTCTAAGATTCTCAATCTTCTTCATTATTTGTTTTCTTCTTTTTCAATCCTTTTTTCCTTCCTTTCTCTCCTTTGTCAATTTCTTTTTAACTTAGTTTCGATTTTTAATCTTCCATAATTCATTCCTTTCTTCCTGCAGTTATTTTTTTATTACTTTCCTCTTTCCTTTGTTTCCTTTCTTCCTTATTTATCTTTTTAACTTCTATATCTACCCTTTTTATCTGATCCATTTTTTCTCATTTCCATTTCTTCTGTTTTTTTTTCTAACTGAATTCCTGCATCCGTGTTGTTTNTATCAGTGTAGGTCTGTATATCTATCTGTCTGTCAGTCTGTATATCTATCTGTCTGTCAGTCTGTATATCTATCAGTGTAGGTCTGTATATCTATCTGTCTGTCAGTCTGTATATCTATCTGTCTGTTAGTCTGTGTATCTATCTGTCTGTTAGTCTGTATATCTATATGTCTGTTAGTCTGTGTATCTATCTGTCTGCTAGTCTGTGTATATATCCGTGTAGGTCTGTGTATCTATCTGACTGTCTATTTGGCTATGTATCAAAATGTCTCTCTCTCTCTCTATGTCTTTATCTGTCTGTTTGTCTGTAATATCTACATACATATATGTCTGTCTGTCTGTTTGTGTGTCTGTTTTCTAGTGTTGTTTTATCAAGAATAATCTGTACTGGGCACTCCTAAACTCCATGCATAGGAGTGCATTTCACAGTTATACAGGGGGAGTCTAAACACATGTTTTTAAGAAAGAAAATGGTTGCGAAATTAAATCAGTTTCAGTATTTTAAGTTTAAAGTGTTTTTTTAGATTTGGGGTTGAAAGTTATTGCTTAAACACTTTGTACTTTTACACTCACATGAACAACTTTGGACACAGGTGTATACTGTACCCCAGCTAGCTAAATATATGGCTTGGAATTTAGTGCTTAGAAGTTAGGTCATCGTCTGAAATCCAGGGATGTGTGTCCACTTTGTTCAGTTTTTGGTCTGGTTTAGTAGTTTGTCATAACTTGGTGAGCATTTGTTTCAAATTGTTTGGTATCTGTCTGTCTGTCTATCTATCTATCTATCTATCTATCTATCCCTCTAGCTATCCATCTATCCATCTATCTATCTATCTATCTATCTATATATCTATCTATAATTAGATTTCAATTCATCTTCTATATTCTCCTCTCACGCATTCAACATGCAGATTTGTTTGTTTGCAGTTTTAGTAATTTGTTTGTTTGCAGTTTAATAATTTGTTTGTGTGCAGTCTTAGGAATTTGTTTGTTTGCAGTTTTAGTAATTTGTTTGTTTGCAGTTTTAGTAATTTTTTGTTTGCAGTTTAATAATTTGTTTGTTTGCAGTTTTAGTATTTGTTTGTTTGCAGTTTTAGTAATTTTTTGTTTGCAGTTTAATAATTTGTTTGTTTGCAGTTTTAGGAATTTGT